CCAAGAGAAGTGGTGCTGGCTCCTACCCTGGGGGTTTTTAAGAGGAGGTTAGATGAACACCTTGCCGGGGTTGTTTGACCCCAGTAATCTTTCCTGCCATGGCAGGGGGTCGGATTTGATCTGCACAGGTCCCTTCTGACCCTACTAACTATGAAACTATGCTAGGGAAGGGTGCGGGTGTGGGCCTGATGACCTGACTTGGTATGGAAGGATTGAGCCCGGAGGAAGAGGAGCCCTGCTGGAGATCCCAGAGCAGGGCAGAGGTTTCTTCGCATGCTGCCAGTGGCCTTGGAGACCTTGGAGGGAGGGGGTATTTGTCTTTGAGAAAGTGAATGCAGGAGCCAGGGAGATGTTTCTAGCTGGACCTTGCATGTTGCTCAGAGGAGCTGAGTGCTGCCTTATTCGGGGACATGGATCTATGTAGGGAGATGCTCTTCATGCATAGTGCAGTCTCATATGGCCGGTGGCTGAAACAATGTGGGAAGAGGGAGGAAGCAGAGACTACTTTCTGCATGGACCAGTTCCCACTCGGGCTCCATGCCCAGTCTCCATGCTACATGCACTGACACAGTGCTTGGAGGGCACCCACGGGGTACAGGGACCCCTGCAACAGGATTCACTGGCTCCTACGAGCTGCTGAGAGCATGGGGCTGCTCCTGTGATGCTGCTGTCCCAGTGCCTCTGACCTCTGTGGTGTGGAGCCTGCTAACAGTGCTTTGTGTGGGTCTCCTTTGTGCTGTTACTTTCTCCTCTTTAAAGCTAATCTGGGGTTATTTAAGGTTAGAAAGTCCTGGGTTCACCAGGGGACCACTGACTGAAGGACTCGACTCTCATCTGCAGGCTTCAGGATGGGAGCTCCTTGCTCTGTAGAGCAAGAGTCAGAACAAAATGTTGCCCACATCGCATGTCAGGAAATCTGGAGTGCAGTCCAGTGTGCCATGTGGTGGCCCGACTGCTTAGCAGAAGTGAAAACCTCTGCTAGGCCTTATATACTAGGCTGGACCAGCATTGCTGCCTGGGACGTGTGTTGTCCATGTTGAAGGTGAAGGCAGCTGTTGTCTGCTGGATTTCATGCACAATGCAATGACCTGAGGGTGCTGGCTAAGCTGCTGACAGGGCAGCAAGTGAGCAAAGTTTCTGGTGGCTGTGACCTGAAGGTTAGTTTTACTGCACCCAGAGGCAACCTTTAAACAAAGTGCAATGTGGCTTAGTCAATAGAAAACTGGTTTGAGATGCAGAGATTTGGCCTCTCCTCTTGGCTTTAAAGCTAGCTGGTTGTATAACAGTGGGTAAGGCATTGCCCTTCTTTAAGTCTCAGTGTCCCTATCTATGAAATGGGGTTATTGATAGACACATGGGAAATGTTTTGTAACCTAGGGATAATAAGAATCAGAGATTACTCTTTCAGTTAGTGAAGAATAGTCTTGAAGCACTCGTTTCCTTTCTGTGTATAGCATAGAAGGGAGGTGGGTTTGGTGAAACTTTGCAGACAAGTCGGGGGATAAAGTTTCTCTCCTGAGTACTTGCAGCTTGTGTTAGACACAGAGGTTATTTACATCAGTGATTGGCATCTTCTTTTATTCATGCACAGCAGTAAGCACCCAAGCTGCTGGAGATGCCATCAAATATAAAAATGAGAAAGGGAAGCGTTATCCCATTCCATAGCTGCTTTTCTGAGGCTTGAGTCTCTGTGTTCGTGTAAAGTTGCATAAGCTGACCACCTCCGTGGTATCCAGGTGTCTGGACAAAGCTTAGCTCATTTTGTCCCCCTTATATATCTAGATATCTAGATATCTATATAGATGCATACACTGAGACATATAATTTTTTTATTGAACTTCCTGGTTCTTTTCAAGACTGGAAGTGCCAAAATAAAACCTGAAAGGCTGTTTCTATGGGCTTGCCAGACTCCTGAGGGTTTATTTGGTTTAATTATACTTAGGATAAGTATCTGAGCTTTCAAATAACAGGGTGATCCCAGGACCAAGCCTGGAGTTGGGAAGTCACAGAATCGTAGAAAATGAGGGTTGGACAGCACCTCAGGAGGTCACATCTAGTCCAGTCCCCTGCTCAAAGCAGGACCAGCCCCAACTAGATCATCCCAGCCAAGACTTTGTCTAGCTGGGTCTTAAAAACCTTCAAGGATGGAGAGTCCCTGTCTGGGTAACCTGTTCTTGTGTTTTGCTGTCCTCCTAGTGAGTTTTTCCCCCCTAATAACTAACCTCAAACTCCCTTGATACAACTTGAGCCCATTGCTGCTTGTTCTGTCATCTGCCACCACTGAGAACAGTCCAGCTCCATCCTCTTTTGAACCCTCCTTCAGGTAGTTGAAGGCTGCTGTTAAATCCCCTCAGTCTCCTCTTCTCTAGACTAAATAAGCCCAGTCCCCTTGGCCTTTCTGCACAAGTCATGTCCCCAAGCCTCTGACTCATTTTTTGTTGTCCTCCTCTGGACTCTCTAATTTGTCCACATCCTTTCTGTAGTGGGGAACCCCAAACTGAACACCAGACTCCAGATGAGTTTTAATTTGATTCTGGAAAGGATCTGACACCGTAGCATATTTTTATTTCCCCTGAGTGGCGGCAATTCTGCAGCTCAGAATTTGTCTGGATGGAGAGTCCAGACAAAGAGGATAGTTTTGATGGAAGGAGCAGCACCATAACTATTCCCCAAGCATCTCTGCAACACTGGACTTCCCAGACATTCAGCTGAACAGAAATGATAAGATGCTGTAATAGCATCGTCTGGTGGCTCCCAGCCCATTTACAGGCTGCTGCTGCTGGTCTGGCCCTGTGCGGTTCTTCCTGGACCTCTGCTCAGTTTGCTCATCTGTAAAAGTGGGATAAAATAAGAGGGGGGGAAAAAAAGTGTTGTTTCACTGAGGTGGATGCTTTCTAACCAGGCTCGGCTAGAATATTTTAGTTGACTGCCTTGTTTTAGGGAAGGTGGAAGAGGTCGCGAAGACAGTTTAACATCTGCTGTGTGCATTGAGCATGTGTGCTGCTATGCGAGCTGTGTCCTGTTGCAGTCCAAACCCCAAACCTTTCTGAGTTTCCCTGTTGCTAACCCACCATGCTTTCTCTCCTGAGAGTGCCTGAGTTTTGACAGTGTTTAGGAGGCGGTTTTCTTTGCCCCCTAGAGCGTGACTGCCTCAGGCTGGGTCACGTCTGCTCAGGAAACACATGGACGGCGCCTGTGGAAATCGCCTGGGGACTGTAAGTACATTACACTGCATCTTTTCTCTGCGCACCAAAATCCCATGTGCTGTGAATTGTCCTTGTGTAACGTGTCTATATTCATCACTTCTCCCTTATCTTGTTCGGCTCCAATCTACACGAATCTGCTTAGTTCTCCTCTGTACCTTAAATTCTCTTTTATCTCCAAGAGTGTCATCGAGGAGCTTGGAGGCACTGCCCGAGTCTCCGTCGGACACGGCTGCTAAAAAGTGCCCAGCAAGGCACGTGGCATGCTGGCGCTCCTTAGTCTGGAGTGGCTGCTTTAGCTATCCTTCTGTGGCAGAGCTTAGAGAAGAAGGATGACATCCTCTCCTTCATCCCTCCCCTTCTGCCGTAAGGCCTGTTGGAGTCGGGTGATCAAGTGAGGAGGGCTCTCTGTTGCCGGTAGACCCGAATCTGCTGCCCGTTCAGTATTATCACTTCCTCCTCGTGGGGCGGCTCTCAGTTGTCACGTCGAGGTGTGCTACTGGTGGGAGAGATCATTTGTGGACTTTGATAGAGCTGGCAGCTAGAGGGCAGGAGCCTTGTATCAAAAGGGATGGTTTGGAGAGAGAGCCTGGGGTGGTGCGAGGCTGCGTTTTTTTTTTTTCTTCTCTCTGCATGGGGCTTGCAATCCAGGGCAACAGGGGAGATTTCTGCCGTGCTGCCCCTCCAAGGAGAAAAGGGATGGGATTTGGTTGTAAATAAATACAAAAAGGTTCTTCATCAAGGCTGCAGGACACATACGGACTCTGTGGTTTTCTTAGAAACTGAGTCTCCTTAAGTCCTGGCTCCTATAATCGGGCACGGTGCTGCTAGGTATTCCACGGTGCTCTTGCGGAGACTTTCCTTCCCGGCAGAGCTGGCAAAGAGGTGTTATGTTTTTCAGAGGAGTTGCTCACTCCACGTTGCACAGGCAGCACAACTCTCTCTTTCCATCCAAAACGGCTTTTTCAAGCCAAAAATCCTGATTCCTTTTTAAATGCTCCAAACTGGAAACACTTCTATTTAAAATAACTGTAGAAAACTGCTGCCCGCTTCCTTTCCAATTTACCAAAAGCTCCCCCACCCTGGTCCAGCCCTCCTGCCCTTGTGTAGGATCTGTTGTTTAATATTTTCAAATTTTTTTTGAGAAAAGCTACTTGGCATTTTTGACCGGCTCTTCTCAACGCAAGTGACTTGGAGAGAATGGGAGTCATTATCAAAGCGGGCAGATGCTGTTCAGCTGGAGGGAGGGGTGTCAAAGTTGTGTGTTTGTGGATGGATTAATAGCGAGGAGATGACTTGATTGCCTTTCCCTGAGTTCTTCCGTGTGCTTCGCCTTCGACAGTAGCAGCTTCCAAAGCCGTGAAACTTGTGAATCGGCAGTTCCCCTCTCAGCGTGCCACCGCTAAGCTAACCCCTCTGTTTTGGCTAATTGCCGCTGTGTTTGGGAGGACGGAAGGCAAAGAGCTGTGTCTACGGTGGAAAGGGGAATTGCTCAGGTCCAAGGGGGGGCGATTTTCATCTGTATCCTGAGCGTTTTCTTTTTCTGTAGGTTTTCCAGGCACTTGCATCATTTCCAGCTGGATGAGGGCGAGCGAGAGATCAGCGATCCATCTGACTCTCTTCACTTTGCTGATGACAAGGCTTTTTGCTACCGCAGTGAGAAATTCTCAGGGTGCAAAGCTTTCATGGCAACCTGGGGTGACTCTTCCTGCGGTTGAATTGATCCTTTCTGTGGGCCTGCTCCTGCTCCCCCGAGCTCCCGCTACATAATTCCTGCAGCTCTTTGCAGAGTAGGTTTCTGCTGAACTGCAAGCGGGGTGGGGGGTCAGTGATTTTTTTTTTCCTGGCTTATTGATCATGTGCCAGTTGTCTGCAGGGGAAGGGAATATCTGCATTACCTGCTAGGACTTTAGGCTTCTTTATTGGGCCCATGTGGTCTCGGGGGCTGGTTCAACAAAG